TTTTGTTCCACTCCCGCCTGCAATTCCCGTAAGATAGGGCCGTTCGCTTTCTTAAGCTCTATCAAACACGGAGAAGCGGAAAGGAATTGTCTAAAATGTGCGCGAGATTAGACCACACTCGCAAATTTAGGCTGCTTAAAATGTTTTTATTAATGCCAAATAAAATATCCAGCACAAATTATGCATGATAGGCATACATTAATCATTTGTATATTTTACTTTACACTCATATTTAGTTTGCCACTTCCGCAATGTGCAGTCCCACTCCCATCTGCGCCCACAATGATCTTTCAAAATGTGTCCCGCACCACACTGTTTTGCGTTGGGTTCTGCGGGAATGCAGGGCTCTAGTCCACATTTCCAATTAAATGATACTTGTATGTGATCTCCAGTGTGAACTTTAGATGCCCCTAAAGTGTCCTGTGTGCTCAGTGTTTACAGAAATAGCCTAAACGCTGGGCTTGTCTCCCAAAATACGGTCCAGTTCTTCATAAAATGGACAGGTTACATGTCCACGGCCACTTTGTTTGTTTGAAACTTTAGCCTCCTTGACTAAAGCCTCCTTTGGCTCCTTTGGCTCGCAGGCTCTTTATTTTTTGTTGACAATGGAGCCAGGACCTCCTGTAGCCGCACTTGGCCATTTCTTTGGCAATCATTTCAAAAACCGCCTGGTTCGGATAAGACCCCTCCAATTTGACCTGAATACAGCGATCCCCCCAATTATCAATAAACTGGCTAACCTCCCTTTCCCTTCATTGACTAGACTCTGAGCCTGATGTGTAGGTGGGATGAATGTGACCTGGCCGTTCAGACTGAAGTCACATGTCAAAAGAAAGAAAATGTATTGGTTTTAGGAGCACATATCCAAGTGGTCTGGGTCGCATTTGAAAAAAATCTGTGCCATTCAAAGATCAGATACAGGTCGCATAGGGGTGAAAAAATAAATAATAAAAAAAAAAAAAAAAGGATTTGGGTCACTTCAGGCAGCAGTCTGAATATTGCCTTAGCTCAACACAAATCCTTTATTATTTGGACCAGCCTATGCACTTCGACATAAAAGGGAAGCTGCTCTCTTTCTTATTGTTTAATATGTTGTATATTTGGTTTGTATTTGCTTGGGATCCAGAATACACACGTGAATGACGGTGAATACAGATGTGATTGACCAATCAGAGAAACACATGGTCCATATCAAAACAAATATTCTGCTTACAAGGAATAAACATAGCCTTTTTTATGTAGAATCAATGAGCAAAGCATTAAAGTGTGTTAATCTGTGATGAGAGAAATGTTATTTGGTTTATAAATATTAGATGACCAATGGACTTTTTCATTTCACGTGTCACTGAGAAAAACAAATTTAATGCACAATCATGTTTTCTCAGACTCTACTGTAAATGTGAAGGAAGGCATGGGGATCTGTATCTTTTATATAGATATCAATATGTGCTAATCAAATACAGTGATATCATTGTTCTTTAAGTCCTGACGAAACGCTGGTTCATGTCTCAATAAAAGATTTAAAAAGTTGAGTACACTACAGTCCCTCTGACTTCACTTCACTCACATTTCCACGTTGTTATGTGCTCAGCTAAATGTCTGCTCCTCAGATACCATTGTGGATTGGACAGTGTTTGTATGTTTTATTTGTGCTGAACTTCAGAGTTAGTGGAGCTCAAATTGTTCGGGGGCTTTTTTCATTTCACATTGATTTCTCAAGTAGCATTTTTTGAAAGTCAAGATGTTTTCAAGAACCGTACAGCTATGTCAGGTAGTCATTTTTAAACTCGTCTTGAATGTTTGACTGACTAGATTGTGACATGTTTTTCAAAATAACATCTGCTGTGGTGGACACTTAAAAGGTGCACTGTGTAACTTTTCAGATGGGGGTCCATTACCTCCTTATTTTTACAGAGATGTTGTTGTTCTGCTTGGAATGTCCCAGTATGATATTAAAGGGACAGAATTTTTAGAATTTTGGACATAGACAAGGTTGCCAATCTGCACACCACTTTCATACTTATGGATGTTTTATTACTCTAAAAATCATAGAAAAACATATGTCTTAATCAGAAATAACTGTAAGGATCAGAGCTAAACCATCTACAGACATGTGGATTCACAGTTCATGACAATACTTTTCTGATTCATTAAAGGGACAGTCCGAAATTTTGGACATAGGACCTCATATCCTAGTTAGGCAGAGTGTTGGAGTTGTGTGGAGACACGTTTTAAAATATTCCATCCAGTCCTTGTATTTGCAGAGGTCGCTGGTGCTAGGCTAGTGCATGTCAATGGCCATAATTAGCCTGCCATTAAAAACAGTCTTATCCACTCCACAAAACACCCAAAGCAAATCTGTTATTACGCCAGACTGTCGATGTGAATGTCTGTGCTGACAGAATAATGTTTAAAATAAAACTGCTACTACTTTGCCAGTAAGGTAAGTGCTAGGTGATATCAGTCCTCCACTGCCAAGCTTTCTATCAGGAAGTACAACTCTCTGCTGCTGCTCAGACATAAATCCTTCAAATGCAAGGTTGGTTTTACTTCTAAAATGATTCTATCAACACAGACATTCACATTAGCAATCTGGCGTAATAATAGATTTGCTACGGGTGTTTTGTGGAGTGGGTAAGAAGTTTTTAGTGGTAGGCTAACTGTGGCCATTGATATGCACTAGCCTAGCACCAGTGACCTCTGCAAATACAAGGACTGGTTGGAATATTTTAAAACGTGTCTCCACACATGTCTCCAACACTCTGGCTCACTAGGAAATGAGGTCCTATGTCCAAAATTCCATATTGTCCCTTTAAACAGATCTACCTTACATTTAATTCAATTACAAATGGTTTTATTGCTCAAAAATACAGAGAAAAACAGGCATTCTGACTGTGAGTGGATTCGCCTCTCCACAGATCTGACCTGTAACTTGGTCTGGTTTGGTCTCCATGAAGACAGAAACGTTTAACACCATACTCTGAAACATCCCAGACAAAGCAATAACATCTCCATGGAAAAAAAGCATTTGAAGGACCCTCCACCAGAAAAGTTACACAATGCACCTTTAAATACAGCTGCCAGTATGCACTTGCTTACAACATCCAGAAAGGACCCAGCCAATATCAGTTTCCAGAGTTTATGGTCCTTTGGGTTCCCAGGACACATGACACAGACACGTGAGCTGTCTGAGTCCTGGGCTGTCTGTACATAAAGATAGAGGGTGTTAAAAGTGTAAAAATGCCAGTTCTTTTGATCTGAGGGTAATTTAAACTCACTCTAGTTGGTTTTGATTTGGGAATTGGCAGTAATCATTATGCTTTTAGGCAGTAAGGGACAAAAACAGTATACCCAGACACCCAGAGTGCTTTAGCCCTGATTATAAACTGTTCCCCAATGCCACTTGAGAGTCGAGAAATAATGAAACACTGAACCAAGCACGGGTCAGTGCCATAGGTGTAAAAAGCATACACAAAGCAAATGTCTCTACTAAAATATAGAAAAAGGCCGTAAAACAAAACATAATACTTGAAAACAGCTAAATTGAATATTACATTGAGATTTCTTATTCAAAGTATATTTTGATATGCAGTTAAGCACCCATTAGTTTGAAACGTTGAACTATTATAAAGGATAAGCATATGGATTCCTTCATGATTGATGACAGCAATAACACAATTCAAATAAAAATAATATACGTTTTAAATGGAGAGATCCTTCAAACCAGGAAGTTTTAGAAATGTAAGACTCATACACTGTATTAAGGAGTGGACTAAGGGAATATGATGCCACCCATAGCGTTTGGCTCACAGAGGCTGGCAGTTAAAGGGCGAATTTGGAGACAGGTTCATATTAGGAATAAGAATTTATTTATGGACAAAATAGTGAAATAAAAACAACATATAGAGCGGGTTAATACAGACATTTTAAGACCAAAATGACGAGGCTCACTGCAGCAGTTACAGAGAGAGTGGTGACAATTTTTCAATATAATGTCAATTGGAGCCAGAGTCGATGGAGCCAGAAGCGTCACCATGCTTACCATATTTTTCTGACTACAAGTCGCACTTTTTTTCATGGTTTGGGTGTTTCCTGTGACTTATACTCCAGTGCGACTTATATATTAAACTTTTCACACTGACAGGCGTGAGAGGCTCTAGGCTTGTGTGTCAGTATCTGCTACTCCTATTACTCCTGTACCACTGTTACTTCGCCCTCTACTGCGTATGTCTCCTGCATAAAAAGCCACTGTCCTGTTGCAAGTGGTGAAATATTCAGCAGAAAGAAAGTTTGATGGACTAGCGGAATGTGAGAATGGAGAAAACAGCTTCACGGTAACCAGGCGGGTGCACCATGCAACTTTTCTAGAAGTCATTGGATGGATGGACAAAGCCTGGACTTCAGTGACAACAGAAACCATCCTGTTGGGATTCAGAAAGGCCGGAATAATTCTAACTGGAACTGATGCTGAGTCTGACGACAGCGACACAGAAGAGGAAACGGTGCTTCATTTACCTCCAGAGGTCGGGGAGTTGCTCGAAAGTGACACAGAGGATGAAGAATTCAATGGATTTAGTAATTTGGAGTGAAGTGGAGAGTTTGGTAAACTTGTTCTGTTCTGTTCTGTTGTTTGTGATGTAGTTATCTGAAGAACTGTTCATATGGGACGTTAACAGCCTGTTGTTCTCTGCTGTTACTATAATTTGCATTACAAGATGAAATGTTGGTTCCTGGTCTCTGATTTTGTAAAAATAAATTTCTCCCAAAAAATGTTCCCCCAAAAAATATTCCAATGTGACTTATATATGCTTTTTTCTTCTTCATTATGCATTTTTTGGCTGGTGAGATTATACTCCAGAGTTGACTCTGGAGTCTGAAAAATATGGTACTTTCATATGTATATTATATAAACTGTCAATGTTGTGAACACAGCTACACCTTGAATTGCTTTTGAAGTGTGAGAGTTTGGTTGAAGTGATAAAAGTTGTGAGTTTTCTTACCGAGTTGAGATCCAGGCTGGTTTTGACCCACTCCTTGGCGTCGTTGTACTCTTCCATCAGGCCCATGATGTACAGTGTGTCCAGAGAATCGATGATGGAGGCTCCTCTCAGACCCCCTGCAAAACACAAGAGCACAAGAGGGCAATCAGCTTGACCCACATTTAGAACATCAATACACGCAGTTTAGCACAGCTTAACTCAATAATAATAAAAAGGTCGGATGGATCTGCGGCTCCGTGTGAAAATGAGTGGACTTCACATTTTGAGTTTTCAAATAGTAACACTCCCCTTAGATATTAAAGGCTCACTGTGCAACTTTTCTGGTGAAGGGTCCATCACTTACTTGTCTCCATGGAGATGTTACCGCTTTGCCTAGAATGTTCCATGGTATGACATTAAACATAAAAATACAATAATTCTTGGTATTAATAATGCATAGTGCTGTAACCTGCTTTATCTATACTGTGGAACATTCTAGACAAAGCAATAACATTTCAACACAGTGACTGACTTTGCTTATATTTTGAGATTAAAAGCCCAATTACTTTTTTGTCCATAATGATCTCTGGTCACGTCTGTCTTTGAGCCTTGAGCCAAACTCCAAACTAAACGGTGCAATTTGATTTTTTCATTTGAGTGATGAATATGAAACTCACCGGTCACCCATCATTTTGAAGATCACATTTCTTGCAACTCATCTTAACAGTTTAGTGCTTAAATCATTGATTCTGCAAGTGTTTTTCGGTTTCCAACAATATTTTTCCCTTTCTTTATCCCCGTAAGCAGGCATGTTTTTATTATTCCAATTTTTAAATTTAGAAATTTTTCAAAATACAAACAAAAACAGACAAAAATAAATGAATAATAATAAAAAAAATCTCCCACACCCCACTCCTCTCTTCACACTCTGCAGCCCAATATGTCAAATATGCTACACACATAAAATTACAAAAAAAAATTAAATAAAAATACTAGTTCAACAGTCAAGTCCAGTCCCATCAAAATGTTCAAGAAAGGTGTCCATATTTGTTTTAATATAGATTCATTATTGTGTCTCTGATTGGCTAATTCACCTGTCAATCACGTTCATCTGACCTGATAAAAGATGCACCAGATTCAGTGACCAGACTCACATCTTCATAAATTATTTGAGAAGTCTGTATCCGGGCAAACTTTGTCATTAATTAGCCTTAAAAAATCCCAAGAAGCATTTCACTACGGCTCGATTTGCAATCTTTCGACTGGCTTTTTGACTCTCGCATTTTTGTTTTGCAGCATTACGTTTTCTAGTGATTCCTTAAATGAGCCTTGCAGGTATTCCGACTTAACCCTGTAGCTTTCATGTTTATCTGCGCGTCTGTAAGTTGACAGCGTCTCTGATAAACATGAAAGCCCCCGGTACGCTGAGCTGGTGTAATTGGAGCAGTGGAGCTGGATGATAATAGTAAAACAGCTATGTGTGGCCAGATGAAACACAGAGTCCCTCAAAGATTAAAAGCATCAAGTAAAAAGCACTGGGGCTGGTGACATGAAAGTGCAGCCATTTGGGAGAGATGCACGTCGGGATTGGGGAGTACTAATGCAGTGATTTTAGCAAACACTTAGCATCTGGTGTCACGGTGAACGAGTCGGTGGCTAACAGAGCAGCTGAAAATACTGTGTCTTTCCATCTCATGTATTTTTCCCCAAACTAAATGAGAAACGCCAGGAGGTACGTTTTCCGTCCTGCTGGTGGCCCTGCAATGATATGCAAATGTGATCTGAGAAAATGGAAGAAGCTCAAAATCCCCTTCAGTGACGTACTGTATGAAGACTCTAAAGGCTACATTATTAATACTTTTACGGGGACATCGTGCTGGTGGTGCTCTGCCTGTATGTCTATAGCGGAATGGTCAGGAGTTACCATGGTGACACTATGCATACATTAGCGGTGTTTGGTGGTTACTCACCAAAAACGTTTCCAAGATATGAAAACTCAAGAAAAGTTTTAACAGCACATTTTCACAGCACTGGTTCTGTTTAGGTGTTTGATTGTCAACAAAAAAAAAAAACAGTAAATCAGTTCTTTCTGGTCAGATTGCGTTAAAACAAAGCTCAAATTAAAGTCTTCAAAAAGAGCAGTGCATACAGTCGCGCACTCCACAGACGTTCAGCGTCTTTTTTCATTTAATAGTCGAATAATCAGACCTAAGGGCAATTTTAGCTCATTTGTCCTCGCCTGGATTTTTTTTTTCTTCATTTTGCTATTAAAACTCCCCCTTTTACCCCCTAATGAAGTGTTATACATCCTTTTTCAGTACAGCCTGTTATGTCACAATCTGCATGCTGTAGTTGTGTCATATGGCTGTAATAAAAGCTATAGGACCAGAAATACAAATGAGAAAAACAAAACAAAAAAACTGAAAATAAAATTCACACTTTTTCATACAAAACACACAGAAAATGTATAAACAACATTTTGGACATAAAAAAAAAAAAGTTTAATTTAGGGCCTAAACTAGAAAAGTATATCAAGTCTGTGAGTAAACTACAAAATATTCTCATTGCTCTCAAAATGGAAACAGCTCCTGTCAGGTCCAGGGTTGCCTGGAAATTCAGAAAGATATCTCTCTGTATTTGTTATACAGATCCGATAAGTCTGGATTTGTCCAGGCAAGGTCCAGGGCACAGAGCCACATGACTTCCTGCATTTCCATGGTGTCTATTACATTTGGATTTGTACATTTGGACTGAAATAAACCTTTCAAATAAAACAGCAATGGATGTGCAATTACTCAGACCAAGATGTGTAATTTGCCATTTATTTGAGAAATAACTGCACTCAGAGCACCTTTTACAATTGTTACGAACACAGATGCTCAGAGCAGTTGACCATTTTGACTCACTATACTCTTTGGCAAAGTTTAGGCCAATGAAATTGGATGGAGCACATGCATTTCTATTGGACACTCATTTTCCCTATGTCATCACTCAGTGTGTGTGTGGTGTAGGATAATGCCGGAAATATGCTCGGAAAACTGCAACTGCACACTGCCCAGCTCCTTTTTACGTTTAATAGTCGATTAATCAACCATAAAAGGTTCTATCTTTTACAGTTGGAAAGTGATGTTTAGTTTTACAATACATATTCCAAGGTATCGTATATGATACCATCAGTCTGGAAGGGTTAATCTACCTAAATTTGTATGAGTCGACTATTCACTTTATTTACATTATAAAGATTTATATGGAACAACAGCAGGAGGGAGACGTGAGTCTGAGGATTTGGTATTGTTTGGTATTTATATATAAAAAGGCAGATTAAACCCATGATTCACATTCACAATGCACATGTCTCTATTAAATACATTGTTTCCTAACACAATTTCTGCATAAATAGTTGTTCTGGCAAACTCCTGTGCAGTTGTAGTCTTACGAGTGCAGTTTGGGTCAGGTACAAAGAGATACATAACAGTTTAGAGAGATTTTGCCACATCCTCGTTATAGGGAGCAAAGTTATAGCAAAGTTAAGTTTATTTGTATAGCACAATTCATACATTAAGTAATTCAAAGTGCAGTTACAGAATAAGAAAGACATTAAAAAAATCTACAAATTAGAAGAAAAGAGAGAAGAGTGGGGAACAAAACTACAGCCCTATTATCGTTAAGTTTAATAAAAAGGGGAAACAAACTCTAAAGGCTTCAGGGTTGATGATTTTAGGAAATGCAGCAGAGTAAGACTGAGTAACCCACTTAAATTAATGGAAACAGAATGAAAAATCTCTTGGTGACTGTGACTAACACTGCCTACAGTAGATGGCTGCTCTGATCTGACGTAACAGAGGGGCAACCTGGCACATCAAAGCGTCTGTCTCCAGGGGGCACTATTGCGAGCGCTCCACAGATGCAAATACTAACTGTAACTTTGGGCAAGTCTGGATATAAAACTGCACCCACAATTTGACAGGAAGTCTTTATTTTGTTGGATTGCAACACGTTATTTCTGGGTTAAGTATATGCAGATAGTTATTTTTATGTAGGACAATGAATACTTAATGTACCAAATTAAAAGCTTTATGATAGCAGAGATTAATTTGAAAGGGCAGATTATGTGCAGTCTGAATTAATTACAGTTACATTTTTAGCAACTATATTACATGTATGCAGAAACAGCAAACTACTGCTAAGTAGAGGTGGCAATTTGAGCAGTTTTGGCAGAGATTTATGGAAAAACACAGAGGAACTTCACCGGAGGGCAAGTGATTTCAGCTGTGGAGAAAGAGAGAGACAAACTAATTATGCAGAATTATTGAAACACAGGGGAAAAAAAACAACAACAAAAAACTCCCAGTTACAACATAGAAGCATGGTTAAAAAGGAAAGAAATATATATATAGGCCTATTAGAGGGGGACATATTACACTTTTCTGATCTATGTTATCATGTTTTCTCATCACAAACATATATAGAGTTGTGTTTTGTTTCATTCACACATGTTTAACACACAAATACTGCATAACTGAGTTCTTTTCTCAAATTGAAAAAACTCTGTTCGACCTCGATGTCATGTGGTAATACAGGAATCATTTGGGTAATTTCAGCATTGGAATTGCAAGTCTTTAAAAGGTAAAAAGTAGTAGCCTGAATCATCAGCCAGTTTCATTTTATAGAAACCGTCTGTCCTCGCAGCATTAGAATTCATTCGCTTGACAGTAGGTGGGTACATTTTTTCATTTAACCAATCACTGCTATTTGGTCATAATGTATGTAAGGCACCGCTAAAGGGGCTAACTGGTATATTAAGCTTTTCCCAAATCCCGTAGGAAGAAGGGCAATAACCTCTTTCCCCTTAATAAAATTCATCAAACATTCTCTTCGTTCCAACTTTAAATCCTCAATCTCGGGAATCGTTGCCAACACAGAATGTATGGTTCTTCGCTGATTGGCTGGTGCCCGAACTCGCACTTCCAGGATTTTTGCGAACCGTCTAGTGTATTTTGATTCCTCACTTAGACACTGGAGAGAAATGAAATTGAGTGGAGGCACTAGGTGGTGCCAGTCTGGCTAAAATAGCAGCTGTTAATTTGAAAACTACTGCTTCATGACTTCACAAAGTGGAACAGAGACGTCTGAGCTG